TGAGCCCAGAAATGTTGAATAAAATAAATTTGCAGTGAAACTACAAATGCTGTAATATGCCCCATGTTCAAAATCAACCTAAAGGAGTTTTAACCTATTCATAGCCTTATGCTTACATTTTGCCCTAGGCAGAAACAGTGGTGAGCAAATTCTGTATGTGCAGTTTTTGAATGTACACATTCTGAATATATAGTTAATACATGGTTTAAGAACAGTAGTGGAACATGGGAATCTAATATAAAGATACATAAGTGACCAGGGTCTTGTTTAAATTGGGGACATAGGTAAGTGGTATAGCATTTACTTTCCACTTAAGATATTCCTTTATACAAAATTAATCATGTGATTTCTCTTCCTACCACTGGAACCCCACACATCTGGATAGATGTGTCTCCTGGCATTCCAGTGCTGGTGAGTTACCTATAGAAAAAAATGTACTGATTTTTCTCTTACAATTCTTATAATGAATGTGTTCAACATTTTTTTCAAAAGAGTAGTGCTTTTGCCTTTATTTAGTTATCAGGTAGCCAAAAACTATGTGTAGTTATTCAGTCACAACCTCCCATACGTTTATTGTAAACCAAGGGAACCCTTAACGAAGGAGCCCATGGGATTTATTCCACATTAGGGAGTGTATCACACCCCCTCCCCAAATATCATTAAGACACATTTGAGAAAACATCAAATATCCTGAAAAGATAGAAAAATACAAGTCTTTTTTTGCCAGGGAAGCAAAAAAAGAAATTGCAGGGCAGATGCCAGCCAAGCATTGTTAACTTGGGTGGTGCAGTATGTCATATTTGAAGCCCCAAAGTTGGAGCATGGAGGAGATTTACACATACAGAATAATATCTGACTTCTCAGATTTAGGTTTTGGATTGGTCTGGCAACTTTTGGAGTATGCCACTCCACATGTACATAAATAACCATATAGCAATGCATTATCCTCTGGTATGGTATAGAATTCCTATAAAGCATCCTTCCCAATCTGGTGCCTTCCAGATCTGCTGGATTGATGACTCCCCGTTCCTATCTTAGAAGTTCTAGACAAAAACAAGTTTGCTGCATTTGAAAGGAAGCGCCCATCTTTTTATTTCTGGTAAGGCAAGTGAAGCTTTAAAAGTTGCAAGGCAGATAGAAATTCAACAATGCAGCTTTTCCCTAATATAGAGAGGTAATAATAGAAAAAAAAAGAGCCATTCGGTATGGTAAAGTATCAGACAGGAAACTGGGAGACTGTAAGTTCTAGGTCCACCATTAAGCACAAAGCCAGCTGGGCTAGCCACATACTGTAAGCCATAGATTAAAAGGCAGCAATGGCAAACCTCTTCTGAAAAATCTTGCCAAAAGAAAACCCTGCAGGAACTTGTCCAGGCAGTTGCCAGGAGTCAACGCAGACAAGAAAAGAAAAAATATATAAAGCTGAGCCTCACATGGAAGGTTTTTAACTTTTTATTTTTATTCTATGCAAAAAGAAAGAACTTTCACATCCAGGTGATCAAATGTAGAAAGAGAGAGAAGATGGAAAACAAATGTAATTTTGATCTTGTGGTCCCAGCTTTGTTCTTTGGCAGGCTACAGCGTCAGAATGTTTGCATACAAGGGAAGAGGACATTTTCAGCACCTATCCAAACCTGGGTAGTAATTGTTTTATGTATTCTATGTTACTACTTTATTGCAATTCCAAAATGATTTGACAAGAGAACAGTTAAAATACAAATAGTATATGCAGTGCTAAAGATAATGTAAAATAAACATAAGCATTTTAAAAACAGGGTGAAGAGAAATCCAATATTTCCAATTAACCACTGGAACTACCTGCCTCCAGAAGTTGGGAATGCTCCAACACTGGAAGTTTTTAAGAAGAGACTGGACAGCCATTTGTCCGAAATGGTATAGGGTTTCCTGCCTGAGCAGGGGGTTGGACTAGATGACCCCCAAGATCCCTTCCAACTTTACTATTAATATTATTAACCCTGCAAGCACTGCAGGAAAAAGCAGAATATTTAAATAGATGTCACCAGGCCTGATAACCATAAGGTGCAGCTGAGTGATACATTATCTATGCCAGTTTGTGATTGGACTTCCTGACAGTTAGAACAATTAACCAATGGAACAACCTGCCTCCAGAAGTGGTGAATGCTCCAACACTGGAAGTTTTTAAGAAGAGACTGGACAGCCATCTGTCCGAAATGGTGTAGGGTTTCCTTCCTGCCTGAGCAAGGGGTTGAACTCGATGACCTCCAAGTCCCTTCCATCTTTATTATTATTAGTTAGCTTTTGCACAACCTTGGTGCTGTTTTCCTGTGTGTTTTCTGTTTTGTCTTTTTTCTGTTTTCTTTTAATATCGCGAACTGTAATATTAAAATAGTATTTTAATGTTGTCAGAGTTGTTAATATGAGCTGCCATATAAGTGGAAATAAATAGCTATGCAAACAAACCAACAATCATTCCCCACAAAACGTTCTCCAACCCACAATTCATTGGCTAGTTAAGCCTACTCAATGACAGTCACATGGCGGAATGCCAGCCACGTGGTCCGGCTTGCAAACTCACGTACGCGCGTCTTTCCGGCAGTGGCGCCGTCAGTTTCCTCTATTATTCAGGACTGTAACTAAGCCCAGCTAAGATATTTGTAAGGGAGCATTTTGAAAGGAGCCAATAGTAGCGGTAGTTCGCCACTGGCTCCACCCTCCCGGGCAAACTGACCAAATTGGGCACGTGTAAAAGTTGTTGAGGGCGGGGAAATTCATAATCCATTCAGTTTATCCGGTGCGTTGCCGATCAGCAGAGCTTTTGGATTTATAGAAACCTAAAACATTTTGTATTGTGGTGCTGGTGGTGGGAAACTCTTTAGGATGAAAGTTATCTGAAGCCGTTCAGAATCTTGTTTAGAAGCAAGAGTTGTCCCGGATTGCCCGCTAAGATCTGCAAAATTCACTGCATTTAGGACATATGCTCCGGGATTATTAACATGCTGATTTAGAAATTAGTAAACTAGTGTTTTAACATTAATAAATGTGCGCAAGCATACAGCTAAGCGTCCAGACCCAATACGCGATCAAGTAAAGGTGCAAGGGAACCTCCGCATTTTTAGGGAAAAGTCCCATCGAAATTTGAACTGAGGTATCCCATTCTTTCCCAGGTAAATGGATGTAGATCGCGTAGATAGGATTGGGTATTCACGTTGGTTTCAAGACAAGTTGTCAAGCTATACACAATGAGAAGATACAGTAATTTTGCTTGAAATTCCTGTGGGAATTAGGATAATTCTGAATTTGAAGAAATTTGCTGTTTTTAAAAAGATGTTATAAAACAAGCGTTATTAATCCGAAATAATAATGATCTATATGCTCAATTGCAGTCCATCAATTATATGGTTATCTCTTCAAATGTTGCCCTTAAATAATCTGGGATTGGTATGTTCCTTAGTTCCAAGAGATTCTTCAGCATTTCTGCCTATTGTACATAAAACAGAGGTTGCACCATCATTTATGACATCTCATGCTTGCAGCCGAATTATGTGTAAATTACTGTAAATTGGACTGCTTGTTTTTCGGTAATCGTACAACACTGCAGCACAGTCGCTCAATAAACATACTTGGAACTGTTACCCACTGTTCCCATTGATGATTATTGTTAGGAGATGGATTGCAGCCTTCCTCTGTTTTCAATTAGATTTGCCGAGCCGCATTGAGTAATATTTCTGACGTTTCAAAATCCGTATTAGGTAGGGCCCATAGTAAATAACGGTGGGCAATAGCGTTACTCCGCGTACTTGTGAGGATTCAGTAAAAAATCAATCCGCGCGATTTTGCATGTGTCTGTCAATGGGCTCTTGTGTAAAAGCGCCGGGAGGACTCAAGTGTTGTCGAGTCCAACTGCCGAGGCGGGTCTCGAACAGAAAGAAACGCTACACCGATCGGGAGTTTCAACAACTGCTAAATGGGCAATGAACCTCTGCCAGTTGTCGAAAAAAATTACAGGGAAGCACAAGCCCGAATCCGACACAGTCTCCTTGAATTAAATTGTTTCTTTGCTTCTGCTTAGCGGCGGGCTTCCTTACTTGGGGGGAGGCGAGGCGAAGAGGAAAAATGCATCTCTTCATCCTGTTTGCCGTTTGAAAACAGGCTATTTCTTTCCGAGGTCTTGAGAGTGAAACATTACTGCATACAGATGCTTGCATTTTTGTTTTTCATATAGCCATTCCTTTTCTTTTTTTTCCTAGTCGCTCAAAACTGGTCCTTTTTGCAAAGCTACAGCGCTTTCCTAAGCGCAAACATCCCTGGCCAGAATCATCTCCCTCCTTGTAGCCTTTTAAGCTGCCAGCGAGTTGGGACTGGGACGGAGAGGGGGGCTTGAGTTAAGGGGGGGGGAGGAGAACACGGAGGATTTACAAATGCAAAGAAGCAGCTGAGGACCCACAGCAGCTGCTGCTGCCGCCGCTGCCCAGAACAGAAGCCCTAGCAGGCTGGCTGGCGGCGGAAGGGAGGAGGGACTTTTGTTTTTTTGTTTTTTTAAAGCGGGGGGTTGCCAGCAGCAGCAGTCAGACGACAGTGCACGCACCGGCCGCAGGAGCAGCGCCCCGCCAGCAGCGCCTGGAGCTCGACTGGGATCGCTATTGTGTGCGGACCGAGAAGCGAAAAGAAAGCCCGCGCGCACAACCCCCCCCCCCGCCCGGAAAGTATCGCGAGAGCGCCCTGGCTAACAACCTGCTTCGCAACACACACAGGAGCGCTACCGCTGGGTTACCAGCAACAAGGAGCAGCCCACGGAGCAGCCGAGGGAGGGGGAAGCACATCTGGGGAAAGCGTAGAGTTTGAGGCAGGGAAGTGGAGGAAAAAAAAAAAAGACTCGAGCACATGCCGTGCTCCAGCGGCACCTCTGAGGAGCGCCCGGTCAGGCGGGTGAGTAGCAGAGCAGCATTTCCAAAGCTGCAGGTTTCCCCATCCCTCGCCGAGGTTCCGCGGAGGGGGTGGGTGGGGAGAGGCCTTTCGGTTCCCCGGCAGAGATCCCATTTGCTGCCTCTGGAGTGTTCGGCTTCCGCGCTATTTTGGGCCGTTTGCTGGATGCGTTTGGCTCCTCTGGGCTCCAGGCACAAAGGGGGAGCTTAGCGGATTGCCTTACAAAGTTAAGAAAGAACTGGTGGTGTGACTGTGTGTGTGTGTGCTGCTGCTACTTTAGAGTATAGGAAAGCGGTCGTGGGGGAGATCATCCAAAGGCATCTTAGCCCTAGGGGGCGATGTGCTTTTTTAAATGGGGGGAAGAGAAGAAGGGTCCTTAAAAGTTTGCAAACTGCAAATCCCGAACTTTGTTTTTCTCTCTTCCCTCCCTTCTGCTGCTGCTCTTCCGCGCACCTCTCCAAAGGTCAAGCTGTGTGTCCTCCATTAAGAGTAACTAGTAATAAGATTGTTATTTAAGCAACTTTCCTGGGGTGGTGGAAGGGAGGGGGGAGGCGGCTACAGGATTTAGAATGAGGGAAGGACTCGGTTTAAGTTTGAGATTTAATAGATGGCTATAAATGGGGGGGGGTGTTGTTGCTGGAACTTTAAAAGGCAGCAAGCTGTGGTTGGCTGGTAGCTAGATTTGAAGTAACATATGGCATTAAAAGGGGCACAGCTGGAGGTAGCATTTCCATCGCAGTGAAGTCAGAGCAGCTGACTCTCCAGCTTGCGGTGTAATTAGCAAACGGAGCACTCCTCCCATCCCTCTCCTCCCTCCCAGACGCTCTTTCTTTTTTCCCCTTTCTCTCCCCCCCCCCTCTTTTTTCACACACACAGGCATTCTTCCTTTACTGGCTAGCAAAAGCCTCTTCTCTTCCCAAACATTTGGGTGATGGGGGAGGGGAGACCCGAAGCAAAAAACTTAGGCTGTTCTAGAACTTTGGGGAGGGGGAATTCGTTTTCCTCCCTATGAACCCTTCATTCTGTATTCCCTGGCTATTCAAGGTAAGGTCCCTGAGATATTATGTCCTCCTAGGAGGAGCCTTAATTACAGGAGGAACTGCAAAATATTGGGAGGGTTTTTTTTAAATTGTGTTTTTGCTTTTAATAACTTTCAGATTTGCATCTTAGTTTTAAATATGCCTTCTTATATAAATCTGATTTCTGTTCTGAAGGGCAAGTGATGGTTTAAAAGAACAAAGCCAATGTGGTTATGCTCTTAATATTTTTAAGTGTGTGGGTGCAAAATACATTTTTTTAAATGAAGCAGTTATGGTGATCCCTTGGAGTTAAGACTTCCAGGAATGCATAAAACTCTGAAGCCAGTCTCCTCCTCTCCCCCCCCCCTTTAGTTTTAAAGCCTTGAGTGGCAAAGGTTGGGAGGCGTTACTTCCTTGGAAGCTTTGGTTTACTTAAGAGTCAAGTTTTTCCTGTTTTTCAAGCAGGTGCTCTGATGTGGGGAGGCATTTTTGAAAATAAAAAAATAAAATAAAATTTGCAATCAGTTAACAGGTGAACTGTTATCCCCAAGGTTCCAGTTATCCCCTCCCTAGCCAATCTGTTTGTTTATTAATAGCTGGTTTGAAGCTGTGGTTTAGAGTAGCATTCAAGTTTTTCCTGTTTTGAACAGGTTATGAAGGAAGAATGGAGTTCCCAGACCATAGCCGGCAGTTACTGCAGTGTCTGAGTCAGCAGCGTCACCAGGGCTTCCTGTGTGACTGTACTGTTTTAGTTGGAGACGCTCAGTTCCGAGCCCACAGAGCTGTCCTCGCTTCTTGCAGCATGTACTTCCATCTTTTCTACAGGGACCAGCTAGACAAAAGGGACATTGTGCATCTGAACAGTGACATTGTGACAGCCCCAGCCTTTGGCTTGCTGCTTGAATTCATGTACGAAGGCAAACTGGAGTTCAACAGCCTCCCGGTTGAAGATGTGCTGGCTGCAGCCAGCTACCTTCATATGTACGACATTGTGAAAGTCTGCAAGGGCAAGCTGAAAGATAAGGAGTTGTGCGGGGATGAAAAGATGAACGGCAGTGGGATCCCTTTGGAAAGGGACATGCGGGTCCTTGATGAAGGAGTGCCCTTGGGGTATGAGCTCAGCCCAGGGAATAAACAAAAATTGGTTTGTACAGAATATGAAAGATCAGCTGGAAAAGAAAAGGACAGTGGCTATCTGGGTTGGTCCTCTGATCTTGTAAGTATCAACTCTTCATTAGCAGAAGCAGAACTGGACACCGTGGCAGTTGAGAAAACAAGAGCTAATGCCTGTAGTTCAGTGGGACCTTTGTCCCAAAGATCTCTTAACCACTCCTTGGCTTCATCTGGCATAGAATGCGCTTTAGACTTGTCTTTCAAGTCTGTGGCTGGAAAGGATTCCTTCCACCCCTCCTATGTCTTTGAACAGCTAGCTTCCAATGGTCAGCAGCAGAGTAGCAAGCCCCTGATTAAGGATGAGCCAGAGTCTTTGTCAGATGAAGAAGATAGTGAGGCAAGATGCCTAAAAAATCAGCATTTGAGGAATTCTGCCAAGAGCCTGATGACAGGATTGGGAAACGTGTTTGCAGGGAATGGCAATTCCCAAGAGCCAGAGGAAGACTTAGATCACGAGCGGGAGGTGAGTGAAGACGACATGGATTCCTCTGACATTCCGTCCTTGGGGGTCTTGGTGCCTCCAGGTCACATCTGCATTTGCCCACTCTGCAGCAAAGTCTTTCCTAGCCCGCATGTCCTCCAGCTGCATCTCAGCTCTCATTTCCGTGATAAGGATATTTCAAGAACCAGGCTTTCCCCTGATGGTTCAGTGCCTACTTGTACACTTTGCGGCAAGACTTTCTCCTGTATGTACACCTTGAAAAGACATGAGAGGACTCACTCGGGTGAGAAACCATACACCTGTGGTCAGTGTGGGAAGAGCTTCCAGTATTCTCACAATCTGAGCCGCCATGCAGTGGTGCATACGAGGGAGAAGCCCCACGGCTGCAAGTGGTGTGAGAGACGATTCACTCAGTCAGGCGATTTATACAGACACATCCGTAAATTTCATTGTGGCCTTGTAAAGTCACTGGTGGTTTGAGAGAAGTTGCCAAAAGGCACCATTTACTGGATTTCTTTACTCTGTTGATTCACTTCAGGCAAATTATATTTTGAGGGATTGGGAAAATGTAATTGTACATTTCATAGAGGGAAGGCTTCAGTTGGGCATTCTTCCCATCACTGGGCCTACTATAGGTCTGCAATTACCCTTAATATTCTGTTCATTTTGGAGTAACAAGCTGAATCTCAAGCTGAATTCTTGGAAAGCTGATTTAATCTTTATGGTTTACTGTAATTGGTATGCTTCTGTCTTGGTGGATGTGCTTCTGATAAGTTGGAAATATGGTGAGGAAAATAGAAACCTTGATCAAAAGTGCTCCTTGGGTGAGATGTACCAGATTTGCCTGCATAACAGCTCCTCCCTTCCAGTTTAGCACTCATATCTGCAGTGCAGATGCCTCAAGAAGGCGATTTCAGAGTTCTAATGGCCCCAGTTCCTTTCCTGCTTTGGATGTAGCTTTTTTTTAGTCAATGTTTTTAATCTGTTCCAGACAAGGAAAAATTCAGAGGGGGAGGGATAGACTTTTTTATTTATGAAGTGTGTGAGAGAGAAGAAATCTGATTCATGTGCCTCATGGGGACTATCTAGAATTCTTATAATAATTTTTACTATAATTTGAAGAGGCCTTGAAATCGATGTAAAGTGGGGCTGAAAATTCCCCCTTTATCAGCAGGTGATAGTTTTGTTCTTTTGAAACTCTTCCTGCCAAATCATCAGCCTCACTGGTGCTGCTATTCTTTTGCCTTTGCCAATATTTTGGAATTTCTCTCTGAATTTACATTTCTTGTGAATTGTAGTGAAATACTTGTTCTCTGCCTTTGTTGGTATTCTTGCAGCTCTGATTCATTGGTGGCCCTAGTTGTGTATTATTTTCTTCCCTCTTGGCTATCATGTATAGAATTTTGGATGTGAACTGTGGCTTTTGTATATGGAAAGCCAGAGTGCTTCCCCCACCCCCTAATATGAATTATCTGCTGTGAAATGAATCTCAGGTGGAATACATGCATACATACCTGTGCATACATACCTGGATTAATGCTGAAGGAAACCGTAGGAGAAAACCTTTCAAGATGAATCTTGAAATGGTGTAGGAGAGAGTCAAGATGCAGGCATTATAACTTGGTGCAAACACATTCATACTTAACTAGTGTAATCCTCTAGTTTTGCTTCTAACAAAAGCACTTTTTCCATGTAAATTAGGGGAGAAAAATGGGAATTTTAAAATTTTAAATTTTCTTTGCCTATTGAGACCGTTGAAAGTTTCTAATTCCCCAAAGATCCCTTCCTTCTCTAAATTACTTGACAGGCATGTTTTTTAGGATTTGGTGGGGGGGAGGAAATTTCACAGTCAACATGGTACTGCAGATTATTCAATGGTGGAAACATACTGTAATAATTCTACTTTATCAATGAAAATAAGTGGTAGTATTTGAAGGCCCATTGCCTTTCTAGTGCTTATTTTGCTTCATGTAGAAGCTATAGCCCTCACTTACCATCAACTGTAAAGTTATTTTTGGTCTTAGATTGCCAACTGTGATTAATCCTTCCCATACCATTGTTGTTTGATCGCAGTCATTGGGAAAAAGTGCAAGATCAGACTACGCTATCTCCCCTTCCCCCCTCCCAGCTGAATAATTCAAGTTGAGCCTCACAGGCCTGGTTTTATTTGAACCAGGCCAGTGAAGACATTTCTCTATGAAGCATTCATAGTTGCTGTGTCCATCCATCTGTTCATACATAAACAGATAATTTGTGTATTAAGGATGAATGTTCTTCCTTAACGTATTCACATACTTTACTCCCATTAGCACTAACTTAGACCTATCTCTAAAACATCTGGCTGCTGCAGGAAGTCAATTGATTGGGGGGAGGGGAGGCTGTTTCTTGGAAACTGAAGAATCAGGCTTTGCCTGACTCTTAATGCATGTTTGGCTGGAACAGTTGATGGACATAGATTTAGGTTTGAAGAAGAAAAATGGGTTCAAACCAATAGGGCCTTGAAAAGTTATGAGAGGATCAGATGAGCATGTTGGAGGTACAGATGGCAGTTGCATTAATGCATAATTTCCTTCAGAGGAAAAAATACTTTGTTATAATATGCACATGCCTTTTTTTAATCTTCAAAAAAATAAGCTTTTGAAAATATCTCTTCTGCATTTCAAATTATGGGGGAATCTATTGGTCTCCAGAAAATGCAGTGCCATTTTGTTGCACTGAACATTAAGGCTAAAGTAGTGTGAGTTATTCCATAGGATTGTAAAGGAGCAGGAACTGGTTTCTTGGAAGTAGATCTTCCAGCAAAGAAGTTCAGTTTCCTTCTGAAGTCCCCCCAAAGTTTCCTCTGCTGTAGAATACTTTGTGTTCTTATTGATATACAGTTCATTTTCATAGATCAAATCAGTAAAATGCTACTGATTTGTAGATGGGAAAGGCATAAATAACTCCTTACAAGCAAAGCATTACTGCATGGCTTTGGGTTGTGTGGTATTTTGGAGAGTTTAAAACAGATTGAAATGTGGTACCTTTGGAACAGATTTGGGATGCTCACTTATTTCTACCTAATTCCAGTATTCGGTTGCCTGTCATGTTATTAAACTTGACTTCAGTTACCCACAAAATATATTTTTGCATATGTGAAATATTTATAAACAAAGAATATAACTGATTAGATTTCTGAGAAGTTGGTGTTCAATGAATGGGACTAGAGGAGGATTGCCAAAACAAATGTACTGTCATTTTGGATGCACTGAAATGATATTTTTTAAAAAAGCAAGTAATATTAATGCTTCAGAAGAAAATATTATTCAGCACTTCCCATTAATTAATAGAATTCCCCAAAAGGGAGGTTGCATAAGTTGCCACAGAGAATTGTTATGTGCTCAGCCAAAATTGTGATTGTGGGTGGTTCTTGGTGTCTTTTTTAACAATAATATATCCCACTGTTGAAAAGGCATGTAAACAATAACATCTCTTTATCTATAGAGTTAATGCAAAACAGTGTCTCTGTTTTAATTTTTTCCCCTTCCTGATTTTATGCATTTCCCTTTGAACTGTAGCCAAAATACTTAGGAAATAGTGCTATGAAAAATTGCAATATAGCTGTTTTGGAGAGGGAGATGTTATGATAAGTGACTCCTTTTTATTCAGATAAAAACTTATGGTGCAAGCTTTTTTAACTCCTATTTTAAATGATAGTGGCCATAGTATGTGAAATTTGACATTTATTGAATATTTGATTCTACTGTAGGTAATTGGTGACTGTATAAACATTCTTACTAACAAGGCGTGGTAGAGCACCATATTCCTAAGACATGTGACAGCAGTACTGTGTCCTTTCTTCCTATCTTTACCCCACCCCTTGGCCCAGATTGGAAATAGCACTGAACAAAACCTTCAAGTTAAGTTATTTCTTTTCTTTTTAAAATTTAAGTTATATATCTATATATATTTTCCTCCTGATGATACTTGATATAGTATTTATTAGATTTTTTTTTAAATTAAGGAATGCTTGCTGTGGAGCTTTTTCAGAATAACACGTGTGAAATTGGTGATTTTAATTATTTTTCTGTACATGTTTTACAAAGTGAATGTGTGAACATGTGAACCAGTACACAGAATGTAGTGCTCTTTATATGCTGGTCCTATGCTGGGTGGAATGGCGTGAAAATACACATCTCAACATGGAGTCTTGATTGTTTGCAAAGAGCTCTCCTTTCTTGATTGCAGTGGAGAATGAGGAAGAGATGCTTTATCCCAGGCGCAATGCAAGGGGCACTACAAGGAAGGACTTAAGTACCTGGGTCCCTGAACTCATTTGCCTCTTCTCTTGGTACTTGTTGAAGGATTTAAAATTAAATGCCATAGGATACCAGTAGGTTGGATTTGAGGGTTTTGTATTTTAGCTAAGTTTAATTTTTAGGAAGAGGCATGCTCTCTGCTGCAGTTAAAAAAGAACAGGTGGCAGATGCATCCTAAGGGATTTGTTGAAGTGTTGTTTTTTTATTATTATTTCTCAAAATTTCTGGGTTAATCACTTCTTTTTTAAAAAAAAAGATTGCACTTTTATTTAAATATCTTTTTCATTTTTTTGGATTTTTTTTAAATCGTTGCAATAGTTCTGAGCATGTTTTGTTTGTTTTTTTATGTTTCTTTACTCCACAGAAAATTACTAAGCACTGTATACTTAGGTTTGTTCCTTCATATTCAGCAGCTGCTCTGGTTTGCGGAGAGCATAACTGGAAATTTGGGGGCTCCGTTTTGATTTTACTCATTGGAGTCAGAATTTTATCATAATACAGCTTTACTTATAACACTGAATTTGTCTTCTACTTCAAACCAATACTGTGAAGTTAATGTTTGAAAGAAAAAAAAATCTGCTATTTTAAATTGCTTTTAATCTTGGTGCAGTTCAGATTCAAATATGTATATTTAAAGACACTAATTTTTGTGGGAGAGTTTTTATAGTGTATAGTATGTAGAAAAGCTATTGGATTGAACTATATTTTATTAAAAAAAGTTCTTTCACTGTTTTATAGTGAATTATTACCCTTACCCTCTTATTGTTGGTTCTATGCTGTATTTTAGGCTAGGTTCGACAATCGCATAAAAATGACTTTGACAAACTTTAATGTCTAGTTTCTGTGTGGTTTTGTTCCTTTTTTTAAAAAAAATTGTGTGTTGGTATGTGCTTTTTTAAAAAAGGAAAAAACTGTGACAATCGTGATTAGAACTGTACTGAATAAAACACACTAGAGCTATAAATGAAGTCTTTTATTTATTTCAAAATATTTAGATTGTTTAGAATGAAACCTTCAAAAAGTGATGTTCACAGAGAAATGATATAGAAAATTCAATTCAAGAGTCAAAACGGAGGAAAACAATTTTGAGTCACCCAAACTAAAGAATATGTGCAAGTAAAGAAACGTTCAAGGTTATTTTGAAAAGGGTAAATGTAGGTCAAGCTTACAAAAAAAAATTAGTTGATAAAATATGGGGTCACTGAAAAGTCCTGCATCTCATGGTCATGAGGGTAAATAGTTTTACCTGTGGATACACCAGCTAGAACTAAGTAGGAGATGAAGAATGAAGCTGCTTTCTAAATTGGGCTGATCTTAAGCCACTTAGGGCTTGAAAAGTTCACATCAACAAACTCTTAGCCTCAGGTAGACAGGAAAGGTATGAATTTGTCTTACAATACACTATAAATGCGGTAGAAATCTGCAGTCAGTCACAGATGTCTGCTTGTTTACCTGTATGATATACATGCTTGTAAACATTCACTTGAAATTTGCTAAAGAATATACGGAGTGGCTTTTATTCAGTGCACAGATACCAACAATTTTAAACTTTGCTACAGCTTGTTATATGAGCAATATCATGCCCCTAAAATTCCCTGCTTCATGAATATTCACAGAACGCTCATGGGAAAATTCTCTTCAAATGTACATGAAAACTGACATGAATGCTGTTCAATTATAGTAGGCCAATTGATGCAACACTTTTGAGCTATGATCCATGCTTTATAAATTGCACAGCTGAGTCACACACAGGGCTAAATCAATCCATCCCTATTACAATTCACTGTAATGTGTGAAAGTGGTGCCCCTGTGATATGAGATTGGATCACATCCACCACAGACATTTGGATCTTGAATATTATCGGTTTGGTAAAAAGTCTAAAATATGCCCCAGAAAATGATTGAAAGTGGTTTGCAGGAGGACAGAAAAATGGAGGATGGGAGGGTTAAACTTTATTCACTGCTAATTGTCCTCTACTACAGGATTTGCCTTAGGAGAAAAACACCGTGTTCTGTTTTTCATGTGACTTGTAATCCAGTCTTCCAAGCATTCCTGAATTAACAAGGCTGGGTAGCTCTCCATGGAAGCTACAGGAGAAATATAATGAACATCTTCGAGGGCTGTGGAATTAAACTGTCCATCACCACGACAATTTCCAGTTACTTTGTTCAAGAAGCATTAATGAAATAAAGGGCAAGGTATACATGGTATGAAGGAAACCATCAGAAAGTGCCCGGCAGAGTTGCAGTTAACTGGTTGAAATGGTGAGTATCTGTCCAGTCACCAGGGATTGGAGACATTTGATGATATCTCATTGAAACAAGATGAAATTCCTTATAATTTGGGACTGAGGGGAAAAGTGCTCTGTAAAACAGCATTTCTTAACCTTGGCAACTAAAATGTGTGGACTTCAACTCCCAGAATTCCCCAGCCTGCATGCTGAGTGGGAACTGAAATCAACACATCTTAAAGTTGTTAAGGTTGAGAAACACTGTTGTACACATTCAATGTGGTTACTATTTTACTGCAATGCCATTTTATCAAAAGTGATCTGTGCAGAGGTATGTAGGTCCAGAGCTAAAATCTCAGTACTGCCTGAATTGGTTTAAATTCCAGAACCATAAAAATTGTTTTTAAGCTCAGAATAGCAGGATAGTCTGGCATTACCTCCCAAATCCTGAGAACTCTTGCCATTCTCAACCCTACAGCCAGACAAAGGTGTCCTCATGCTACTGGCAAATTTCTTTCATCTCACGTTTAAAAAAAATTGCTCACCCTATTTTAACTGAAGGAACTAATTTGTTGTAATTCTACCCCACCCCCCAAATCTTTGGTTTCTTCAGCACAGCTGCACACTTCTGTACGTACATCTGGCACTTGTGTCCTTTCAGATTGATTTGCCCTAGAAAATTAAGACTCGCCAACCTGGTTTGAACAAAATAACAAAGAAGTCCATTAATATTCTTGGCCATTTATGTGCTTCAAAGTGACAGCTTCTGCAGTATCTCTGTAAGAAAAGGCTGGTACAAGTTATAGTGGGAGGCAAATCTGATGTAGCAGCAGATTTCTAGCCAAAAACAATTTATGCTGGCCAGGACTGACAGCATTTCCAAAGGCTAAGGGGTCATTGGCGCAAAGCTGGCATTTAAGCCACCTGCTTGCATTCACATGAAGCCTCCTGCTGTTGCCCTCTGCTGGGTGCCTTCTCCAGTAGCTTCCTCCAGTTCATCAAGCAACTTCAGTTCATGACATATACTAAAGAGTGAGTTCCTTTTCTCCAAATCTTTCTCCTATTGATTTTCTATTCTTTGCAAATGGTTGTTAGGCTGTCAGATGATGATTCAGCCGAGTCTCGCTGTGCTGCCAAAATGCAGCAAGGTCACAGGAGCCAAGGAGCTTGTTTGCATGATGGTTGGGTTCCTTTACATTATTTCAACTTTCTACCGCTCTTGCAGGTGTTTGAACGTGACAAGTTTCACATGTTGCATCAAGCCAGAATGTGGCATTTGATTCAGAGTAAGATGCATGCCATGGTTTATTTTATTCTTATTTAGCCTAATGAATATGTTCAGTTCCGTGTTATGCTAAACTTTGTTCTGGTTTGTTTTAGCAAGTCCTCTGCACTCAGATAAAAGCCCAGATTATAACAAAGGTATCTTGCCTTGGCTATAATCTGTGACTGTGGGTTGCTTAGTTCAATTTAACTATCCCTTTGTATATCAAGTTGACCCAGACTTAGAGCTAACATATGGTTAGGGAGACATAAATCCTCCCAAAACAACACACAAAATGCACATGTGGCCACAACACTTATTTCCTCCTGCAGCAAGAGCTCTATTTCTCCCAATGCTCCCATCCCAGCAAAGATGCTGAATCAAGAATATGGTGTGAGTGGGAGAAGACTCAGCCTACCCTCTTCCCACCCAGGTCCTTCAACTCAGTTGGAAATGTAAGCTTTTCCGTGATCTACAAAGTGTCCCCTCTTACACCAACTGATGGCCAATATACTTCCCATCAATATTCCTGAGATACCAAGGAAGGAGAAGCGGGACTGGGCAGCCCACAGTCTGACATATGTTTGCTGAGTACGTAGTTGGATATTGATTCATGTCAATTGAATAGCCAAGGTCACACACACACACACAAATGAGCCATAATGTGGTTTGTTTGGATATGGCATAGCATGAACCCAGTTACTACAGACCTGTGACATATACATACACATATTCACATTTTACTCCTGCCATTTTAGAATAAGAGTATTGCATAAAATACAGGACAAGAATAAGATAGTAACTAAAGAACTGAAAGGGGAAAAGAAGAGCTAAATCTACTTGACTTTAATATGCATTCAATATCTCTCCTGCCTTCCTATCTCTGAAAACTGCTCTTAGCTATTATGTTTGTAACTGCTGTCCACGTTGCCTTAGGTTCCTTAAATTCTCACCTCTGTCTTTTTCAGGATTTCAATTATTCCATCCATCACTTTCTTAGTCTTAGTTTTTCTCTCAACCCTATCCCTCTTCCTAAATATGTTGTTTTTTTTCCACTTGATCTCTCTCAGCGGCCCGCAACTTTTTGGGCACCAGGAACTGGTTTCATGAAAGACAATTTTTCCACGAACCAAGGGGGTGGATGGTTTCAATTTTGCTCACTCACTCACCACTCACTTCAGCTGTGTGGTCCGGTTCCTAACAGGCCATGGAATGATACCTGACCATGGCCTGGGGGGTTGGGGACCCCTGCTCTGTCTGACCAAAGCAGCACATCCACCTATTTCTTTTCAACTGGATGCATTCTTTTGCATCATACCTTCATGACCTAATCTCTTCTAGTTTTACCACATGCACTTCTCAAGCATTCCCTTCTCACATATTTTTCCTGATATTGTCTCATTTCCACATGAAGGAGGGGGCAAAAGGGCCCTTATCTACAACCATTTGAACTTATTTTGACCTACCTTTCTCCTGGCAGATCATGTTCTGCCATTTTTCTACCAGAAAATGCATGCTATCACATTTCTGCCTCTATTATCTTTAGAAAACATTTTACCAATATTCATGCATTCATCAACTTTCTGTAGTTTTCTGTCTTGTATATTAACTTGCAATAATGCTATTTATTGAGCTGTGGTGGTGCAGTGGTTAGGTTGCAGACTAATTCTGCCAACTGCCAGCAGTTTGATTCTCACCGACTCAAGATTCATTCAGCCTTCCACCCTTCTGAGGTCAGTAAAATGAGGACTCAGATTGTTGGGGGCTATATTCTGACTCTTAGAGAGAGCTGTAAAGCACTGTGAGGTGGTATATAAATCTAAGTGCTATTACTCTTGCTATTTAATTTTTCTTCTCCAATATTTTGGTGCATTCATTTTCAACTTCACACTTTATTGCATCATATAATCTTTCTAAAATTTCTTGCAAATCATTCAACTGCTTAGCAACAAGATATCTGCATATAGATCTATACCCCACATTTACAATGTCAACCAATTCACTTCTGGTATTAGTATGTACAGTCATTTTATGTTTATCCAAAAACAACAACCAAAGGAATGTCACTTATCCTTGTCTTATTTCCTGCTCAGTGTTGGTTGCTAAGCATTCCATTTATTCTCCAGTACAGGAGATGGATAATCCATGGATGGGTTTTCTCTGTCTGCCTGCTCTTGAGACCAAGTAGCCAAAGCTTGACACGCCCCCACTTCCTGTGGAGTCCATTCTTAACTTGGTCTCTGCTCAGAGAAGACTCGTTTTGGCGTGGCTCTCAGCTTATCAGGTTAGACAAGAAATCCATTGATTGATTATCCCTTGATAATTGGCTTCCCCTTCCCAAAAAAATTTTTCCACCTATAGGAATTTAACCACAAAATTTTCTGGGGATCAGTCCTGATCTCAAACCTAAAATTAAAAAGGGGATTGGTGGGGAGGGAAATTTCCCCACAGATATCAGCCAGCCCCAGGGCTCTGGGGGGTGAAAAGGGGGGGAAGAAGGCATCAGCAGAGACTACTTGCTGAACCTTTTCCCCAACCACTAAGTTTTCCTTGGGATCATCCCTGATCCTATATTAAAATTGAAAAAGGGGGTGTGGGGGGGGAAAACTCCCCACGGATCCCAGTCAGCCCCAGGGCTCTGGAGGTGGAAAAGGGGGGGAAAAAAGGCATCAGCAGAGACCACTTGCTGAGCTTTTCTCCCCAACCTTCCAAGGGATTTTTTCCTCAAATTGGGGGAAAAAATAACAATCTCCAGGTCCGGATTCAAACTTGAATTCGGATCATCGGAGATTCCCTAGCAGCCCAGGGCAACCGCGGGCGCCATTTTAGTTGCCGTTTTCAGACAACAAAGGCAATCCCTGGCTGGGATTACCTTAAAACGTCACAGCGCGCCAAATTTAAATCCCCGGGCACAAGCAGCTTCTGGGAGGCTGCGGAGCTTATCTTCAGAGGGAAACGAAGCACAGGAAGGGAGTAAGCCAACCAAGAAACGGAGGCTAGAGAACCCTCCTGGGATCTGCAAAGCCCTTTTTCAGGGAGAAACGAGCTGTGGCTGCCATCTCTTGCCAGAGAAAGGCAAACCGAGCTTAAGGAAGCTCTACATCATATCTGGAATCACTGATAGAGGCGGAATAGGAGCACACAACCAGCGCTCCACCCCCGATACACACATATAATAATAGGACAAAATATAATAATAATAAAAATAGATACATAAATTTTAAAAATAATAATAATAATAATTAAAAAAAATTTTTTTTTAAAGCTAAAAATTAAGCGACTGCAGGGCCAACAGGCCTAAAGACAGAACACACAATATTATCATCATCACCATTATTGTTGTTGTTATTATTATTATTATTTTACTATTATTGTTGTTCCTATTATTAGTATAATAGTAATAGTATTAATAAGAATAAATTCCGCTCTAGGTGACCGCCATTTGATACCTGCTGTGTATTAAGTCAGGCCTACAGACCCTTTTGAGGTCGCCACTGATATTTTTTGCCTCCCTTTTCCTTTTTCTACTGGTGCACGTTGCCTGGTCACCTAAGGCCTCCGGGCGGAACCCAAGGAGTGGTTCCAAACGTGCCTTCGGTACCTCCCTCAGCTACCGTGACCTTAGCCCAGAGAGAATATTTTTGTTGTGGTCGGGTGATCAGGGGAACAGTCCTGGTACTTGTTCCAATTTCGCTCCCGCCAATACTTGCCTGCCTGAGCGTCTTCTCAGTTTTTCTGGGACTGCTCAAGCGGAATGGAGGGACCCTCGT